TCAATTTTTAGCTATTCTATTAGGTGTACCACAGTATCTCGTTGTGGTTTACATTTGCCTTCCCCCAATGTCTCTGTTTAAATCTTTTGCCCATTTTTCTGACAGCCTAATTGTCTTATTAAGTTTAAGAGTTCTTTTATATTCTGGGTCCAAGTCATTGGTCAGATATTGTGAATATTTTATCCCATTCCACTACTGACCTTTTCATTTTCTTAACTGTGCTTTTAAAAAGAAATGTTTGTTAATAAAGTCCAGTTTATCAGTTTGTGTGTGCATGTGCACATGCATATCCTAAGAAAGCTGTTTCTACAATTGTGGATTGCCTAGTGCTTCCAGAATTCATGTCCACCCTCTATGTGATCTTATTTGGAAAGAGGTTTTTGTAATGTCATATGGGATTAGACTGGATCCTAAATCCAGTGACTGGCGTCCTTACAAAAAGAGGAGAGGACACATAGGGGAGAAGGTCATGTAAAGATGGAAGCAGAGATTGGTGTTATGCTATCACAAACTAGGGAATGCCAGGAGTCACTGGAAGCTGGAAAAGGTATTAAGTGTTCTCTTCTAGAGCCTTCAAAGAGAGAGTGGCTCTGTGGGCATCTTGATTTCAGACTTTGGGTCTCCAGTACTGAGAATAAATTTCTGTTGTTTAAGCCACCCAGTGTAATGGAACCTAGTACACCCACCCAGGAAGGATCAGAGAGATTTTCTCCTGTTCTCTTCTACAAGTTTCTTTACATTTAGTCTTAGCCATTTTTAGTTTATTTTTGTGTATGGAATGAATTAAGGGTTATGGTTCATTTTTCCCATTATGGATATCTACTTTCCAGCACCATTTGTAGATGAGTATCCTTTCCCCCATTAAATTGCCTTGCACTTTTGTTGAAAATAAGTTGACTGTAAATTTGTGGGTATTTGGGTCCTCTTCTGTTCCATTGATTTATAGTATTATTCTTATGCTGATACCACCTCTTTATTTCTGTACCTTTATAACAAGTCTTAAAACCAAGTAATATAAGTCTTCCAACTTTGTTTTCTTAAAAATTATTTTGGCTCTGTTTGGTCCTTTACTTTCCAGTATAATTTTAGGTTCAACTTACCAATTTTTACAAAAAATTTGTTGAGGTTCCAATCCATGATATATGTCTTCATTGACTTAGATCTTCTTTAGTTTCTTTCTTCAATGTTTAAAATTTTAAGAATACTATTTCATGTGCTTTGTCATACTTTTCTCTAAATGTTTTTTGATGCTATTGTAAATGTTTTTCATTTTCCATTTTTCACTCACATAGAAATAATTTTAAAAAATTGACCTGCAACTTTGCTAAATTCACTTGTTACTTCTAGTAGCTTTTATTGTAATTTCTTAAATTTTCTAAGTACATAACCAGGTCACCCATGATTAAAGACAGTTAAGAGTGGACAGTTGACATCTTTGCATATTTATGATCATTGGCTGAACTCTTTCATTACTAAGCATGAGGCTAGATGTAGGTTTTTCTTAAATTTTTTTATCTGGTTGGGAAATTCCCTTCTACTGTTAAGAGTTTTTATAATGTTGGATTTTGCTAAATACTTTTTCTATGTTTATTCAGGTAATCATGTAGTTCTCCTTTATTCTGTTTACATGGTGAATTACATTGGTTTTCTAATGTTAAATCAAGCTTGCACTTTACAATACGTTCTTCTTATATATTGGATTTGTGGTACTTTGTTAAGGATTTTTGATTCTGTGTTCTTGAAGGATGTTGATTTGTAATTTAGTTTTCTTGCAGTCTTTGTTTTTGGTACCAGGGTAGTTGTTTTGTAAAATAAGTTGGGAGATGTCTCCTCTCTTCCATTGTCTTCTGTTTGGTATTCCTCCCTTAAATGTTTGGTAGAATTCATCAATGAAGACATTTGAGCCTAGTTTTCTTTGTAGGAAAGCTTTTAGGTACAAAATCAGTTTGATTATAGTAGGGATTTTTGGGTGATCTTTTTGAATGAGTTTTGGTAGTGTCTTTCCAGAAATTTGTCTATTTCACCACAGCTGTCTCATTTATTAAAGTTATTCGTAATAGTCCCTTCTTATCTGTTTTAATGTTTGTAGGAGCTGTAGTGAGATGCTGTGTTTCCTAATTTTGGTAAGCTCTTTGGCTAGAGGTTTATCGATTTTACTGTTTGCTTGTTGAATTTCAAAGAACCAACTTCAATCATTAGTTTTTTTTTTTAAGTTTCATTGTTTTCTGCTCTTTCATATATCCATCCTTTGGCTTACTTTGGGGGTAGTTCACCCTTCTTTTTCTTAAGATGGAAATTTAGGTCACCTTCTTTTCCAATATAGGAAATATAGAAAATGAGAACAAAACAATGCAAAAGCAATTAAAATACTGGAAATTAAATTTGAAATTCAATTTTACCAATTTCCTGACATTTGCATTGTTGCCTTTCTACTATAGCTTTTTTAGTTTTAGTCTGAGAAATAATACATGCTGTTAAAAAATTGCAAAGGGTACAGAGAATCATAAGGAATTGCATTAGTCAGGATCGGCCATAATAAAACTTAATAAAACTTTTATTTCTTGCACATACTATACATTTGTGAATCAGGGGCTTTGCTTCACACAGTCACTGAATGACCCAGGTTGACAAAGGCTCCACCATCTTGAGCTGTACCAGCTGGAACACATGGCTTCTTTATTCTTTGTAGCCAAAAAGAGAACCTGAAGGTGCTCTCATTGGCCATTAAATATGTTTACCTGATAGCTTGTTGGCCAGAAATAGCTACATGGGCCACCTACCTGGAAGAGTCAAGGATCTAAAATCTTCCCATGGGCTTAGAAGCAGAGAAGCAGCAATATGGATGAGCTCTAGACTCCATACCCCAGGAAAAATGTAGGAGTCACCTATCTTCCTACTCCGAGATAATCCCTCCCTATCTTCCTGCCTGGCTTCACTGACCTTCCTCATGGCCAACCGTACGTTAGGTTTGGTGGAAATTCCTATTGTGATCGGACTGATCATTGAGTCGGGTCTTGTGTTCTACATTTGAAACTCTTACTTGATTTTTTTAGTATATAAATGAGACCCAGAAAGGGACAAATAAAGAATCCATTCCTATTTGCCTTAACAACATGGAAAATTCAAGTTTCTTTTTAAAACTTAGGTTTAGAATACCTCTGAAAGATACACAACTGGTAATAGTGGTTTTATCTAGGGAGGGAAACTGGGCTGGATAGTGATGAGTGGGAAGTGAGAGGTGCTGAAAGGGTGGTAGGATGGGTAATTTTCAGTGCATATACTTCTGTAACTTGAATTTTATACCATGCAAGTTATATTACCTATTTTTAAAAACAAGTTAAATAAAAAACTGTGCTTTCAAGTCAAGGTCGCACTAATTCTCTAGGGTAAAGATACCAGACTAGGAATATAGACATCTTCAGTGAGATCAGTTAAAGGTCAGAAGGCCAGGAGCAACTTGGCCTGGAATGTTTGAGTGTTCTGCAAAGGTATCAGCACAACCTGTGACTTCACTGCCCAGCCCTTCTTGAGGGCAGGCAGGTGGTACAAGTCCACACCCTAAGCCCTCAATTCCCCAAAATCCTCAACTGCCTATAAATCCCCTAGACAATGCACTACCCCAGGCTCTCTTGTCCCCTCCTGGCGTGAGCCAGGAGCTCTGTCCTCTCACTTTATTTCTAAATAAAAGCCTGTACACCTTGCTCTCCTAAAAAAGAAACAAAAAAACAAAAAACAAAAAAATTGTGCTTTCTATATTTTCTTAGTCTTCTATATTGAATCTGATTATACTATGTAAATGAATGAAAAACCAAACATTTGTTTTTTTTAAAAGTTGTCAGAGTTGAATGACACTTTTTTTTTCACTGAATTTTGACATCATCAAGCAAGGACCACATTTTGAAGTTTATTTATACTTACCTTTTGGAGAAATAAGATTACATTATCCAAATAGTTACAGTCCTTTGGGTGCCAGGAATCAACATAGTCATTCTCATTAGAGTGTTAGCTTTTTGGAAAGCTTTTTCACATGAACTGGGTGGGTTCCTTTCTACATTTCCAGTTTTGAGTTCAGCCATAACTGTGGCTTACTGAAGAACCCTGAGCTTGGAAATCAGCCCAGAGGTGGAACTTTGGCTTCAACACTTACCAGTCATGCCGCCTCAGGAAATGTGCTCATGAATCCCAAGCCTGTTTCTTCATGAGGAAGAAAAATAATATATATCCCCATGATTGTTTTAAGGATTAGATATAAAGTTATATATATAAACTACTGGGCGAGGCTCAAGTAGTTTTCTCCATTCAGGATCAGCAAATCCAGTTACAGTGCTGATCCATTTACAATAAAATAGACCAAGGGTAATTGTGCTTCCCTTCCCATCCTTGTTAATGCAGATAGTTTTATCAAACTTTTCTGTGACTGCATAACACAACTATTTGATTGTTAACCTTTCTTTATTCTCAAACTTATGAAGATACAGAAGACTTTCCAAAAGCTACATGATGTGTAATGTCACAATGATTAGATATAGATGAGAATTCGACTATCTGTATTGAGCCAGACACCAAAGCAATTTGTGAAATGTGAAACAGTGCCACTCTACCCACTACATTTTTCTGTGCAGGAAAATATAGTAATTTCTCATTTCAAAAAATGTTACTTATGTTAACATGCAACAAGTTGTCAAAAAGTTCTGAAAGCAAATAATTTGAGAACTGCTGGTTTAGACTCTGATGCCTATGGGTGAAAACTGCAATGTAAGCAAGACCTCTTAAAACAAGTGGCATATTACATGCACCTATCTCCCAGGGTCTTTGGCGGACTTACAGTCTAAGTATCTCCTTTCTTCTTTTCACTGGAAAAAATAAAAGAGGCTAGATAACTGGCTCTAATCACACAGAAAGTTATAAATTTTCTAAGCAGAGATCTGGAGCCAGTTGCAGTGAACTCCAGTTATTAAGATTGTTATTAATTATGGTCATTTTTGTTTTCTTTCACACAGATTTTATTCACATGGCATTTTGGTATGCCAGGAACCAAAAGTAAGTAAGACAGTAAAACTGAAATAAAATAGGAAGATCGTCAGCCAAGAAGGACCGTGGGATTTGAAAGCAGAGTTAAGTATGGTATATTAAGAATTAATTGGGTTTTAAATAGAAAAGCAGAGACTGGGTCGGTGAAAAGAATTCATGGTTTGTTTCCCTCAGACCCTGCTAGTAAACTGGTCAGATCACCAAGCAAGCCCAAAGATACCTTGAAAAGGACTTCCACATTAACTTCTTTAGTTGTATATGAAGCATACAAGTTGATTCCTAAGTAGTTTAAAAAACAATCATTCAGGAAAAGAAACATATTTTATAAATCTCTGAATCTCTATAGTTTATCTGAACATTTTTCAAGGGAAAATTTGGGACAAATAGCCTATCAAGAACTTTTTGTCCTGTCTTGGAAATTTGCTTAAAGAACAAAATATTAGAATTTTGAATAGTTTAGTGGTTTATGGAAGAAGTAGGGTATAAAATTGGTGTCATCTAAGAAAGTTTTGGTTTTCCATGATCATGGTCGTCAGGAAAAAAACCAAAACCAGATTTTCTGATATACTTCCTTTTGATTGCTTTTCATTCCCTCAAGGTGTATATAATATCTTCCCTAGATCTTCCACCCCACCCCCCACCCCTGGTTTCTTCCAGCTCTGTGATTCTCTCACATTTTCCATTTCAGACTTCTTTCTCCAATCCTTTTAAAGAGGTTTCTTGGTCAGGGCTTTATTGGTGGTGGTAGCTGCCCTTCCTTAGCTTCTAAGTGAAACTCAGGGTTACTTCCCTCTTCCAGGGACTAGCCTGCTTCTTTGGCCTTCCAACTGGCCTGGCTCTGAGAGTCAGTGATGAAATGGAAACTTGGGACACTTCCTTTGAGGTTACTGAATCATGGATTCTTTAGCTTAACTTATTTAATTTTGGATAGGCATTACAGAGGATAAAACCATTTTATACAAATAATTTTTTTCTTTTATCCTAAAGATACTTTTTCTAAAAAAAAAACAGGTCCTTCTAAATATGAAACCACACTATTTCCCTTTCTCACACCCATTCTAAACCAACATTTGCTATCTAAAAAACAACCTGACAGCCTGTTTTTTCTTGTCGCAAGGAGGATTTCAGTCTTATTCCATCCAGGCTTCCTTATTTAAGCAACACCATTTATAATACCATTTATAAGGTTTGTCAAGGTGGTAGCCATGATTGTGTATCAAAGTCTGGAATGAAACTTTTTCAGGAGAGGGGGAAGTCAAACTATATAGTATATTTTAGTACAGAAAAAAATTGAGCAAACAAAATAATTTGTTTCATTAGTTTTTCTTTATCTAGAGTTATGAAAATAGGTATTGAATGCTTTTTTTATAATTGTCTTCACATACATACATTGTGTACCTTAGTAAGTGAGCTTCTGACGTGGTAGATTTGTGGCCATAAGAATATGTTAAAGAAAAAATTCATGACTTTTGTTAAGGAATGGTAAGGCAGGCTTTATTCAGGACCATTGTACTATGTGTAGGGGCCAGTGCAGTGGGGTTCTGTTATAGGGGAGATCCTGGGCTCAACTCCAAATACAACAAGGAAAAGCAGGAATATATAGCCATGGAGAAGGGTGGATTTCATGAAGAATCCTGGCTAACAGGATTCTTACCCAAGACAGGCCAGGGTGATAGGTTATCACCCGGTGATGGTGGGGGATAAGGAAACCTGACCAGGTATTGAGGATGGAGAAATACCGGCTAACGTGACTGAGCAGGATTCTTGCTAAAACTGGACAATGGGAAGATGAACACAGAAGCTCAAAAGTCATGGCCTAGTTGAGAAGAGTTGGACTCTCTTGTCAACTTAGGGTTCAACCTGTCAACAGAACTGATACCCCCTCCCACACTGATTTTTATTTTTTACCCTCAGACAATATCCTCATTACTCCCTTGAAATTATTTAATCAGTTATCCACTCTTAGGCAGTCACCCTTTTCACTTACAAATGCTAAAAGTTTGAGAAATTAGAAAAACCTGTAAGTATAATACTACCATATTAATAACTTTTTAGTCTTTCTGTACATGGATAGTGTCTTGAAAATTAGAAGACATGTTGCATAATTTTGTAACTTGGAATTCACTTGACTAAATGTAGTGTGGAAATTTGTATTTTTTTAAATGTAAAAATTCGTTGAAGGCCTAAGTTTTAACAAGTAGAAAAGGTAGAGTGAAAACTAAGTCTCTCTCTTATCCCGAGTAACATTTTTAATGGCTGCAGAATAGTATGTCATGTGGATGTACCATGTATCATTTTTAACCTATCACTACTTGTGGACATTTGTGAGGGGGCTTGTTGTTTGGATTTTGTTTTGCTGTTGATAAACACTGGTTGAAGTCTTGCAGAAACAATTTTGGATTGGCTGATTTTTTTTTAAGGGTAAATTTCTTGAATTTCCTTCCTTTCCTACTATCCTGTTATTTCTTCTTCTGACCTTTCCATCATCATTTTCCTACCTGCAAATGCATTTATCATTCAAACCTCAACTTCTATGCCTTTACCTTTACTAACACTTCTTAATGTTACCAGCTATGCATTCTCATCTTTTCCAGGTGTCATACCTGAAATGTCAATGTTCCAGAGAAATTTTTATGTCTTTCCTTTATGAGTGTACCAAATGGTCCCCATTATTTTCAGCTGAACCATGTTTTATATTTTTGAGCCTTGGTGGTTTAATCTGAATGATAAGCCTACAGCTAGAAAGCTTTGAAAATTGCTATATTAAAAGGAGCCCATAAGCATTACTTCCTAATTTCACTGACAAAAAGACAAAAAAAAAAAGGGTGGGAGTGGACCTAGAGTCAGAGTGGACCTGGGTTAATAGCTATCAGTGACTATTCTGAGGATTACTATCAGTAATAGCATTACTAAATTAGTAAAACAGTATTATTAGTAAATTTTTATTATTTAGTTACTAAATTATATTACTAAATATAATTAGTAATAAATTACTTAACTTGGTAAAACTAATAGCATTACTAATTTAAACCTGTGCTTTGGCTCTACTAAAGTATTTTCTACCTCATTTCGTAAGTTATTAAAACCTGTACTTGTGTATAAGTTTTGTTAATTTTCATATAACATTTTGGTTAGAGATCTGAGAGTTCTGGACCATCTGAGTCTCAAAAAATAACCAAAGTTATACATATTAATTCTTGACCAAATTCAGTATTCTTTAACTATAATGAAATATGTAAATTCCTATTTATGTATTTAATTATTTGGAAAAATGGATTAAATTCGCTTTTTGAGAATAGAGGTGCTGCTTTTAAGTTTTAAAATAGAGCATTCAAGGTAACATCAAGGTTTTGTCACTTTTCTTTGCAGGGATGGAAAGTGAAGTGAAGCAGTGTTTTATCATATGTATTTCAGCAGACCTTCTGAAATTTAACTAAAACTATGACTGCTCTTTCTTCAGAGAACTGCTCTTTTCAGTACCAGTTACATCAAACAAACCAGCCCCTAGATGGTAACTGTCTATTATTCTTGATTATACTTGGGAAAATATTATTAAATATCCTCACACTAGGAATGAGAAGAAAAAGCAACTATCAAAATTTTTTGGAATATTTTTGCATTTCACTAGCATTCATTGATCTTTTACTTTTGGTAAACATTTCCATTATATCCTATTTCAGGGATTTTGTACTTTTAGGCATTAGGTTTACCAAATACCATATCTGTCTATTTACTCAAATTATTTCTTTTACTTACGGCTTTTTGCATTATCCTGTTTTCCTGATAGCTTGTATAGATTATTGCCTGAATTTCTCAAAAACCACCAAGCTTCCATGGAAGTGTCAAAAATTATTTTATTTCTTTACAGTAATTTTAATTTGGATTTCAGTCCTTACTTATGTTTTAGGAGATCCAGCTATCTACCAAAGCCTGAAGGCACAAGAAGTTTCTTCTTATCAATGTCCTTTCTACGTTAGCATTCAGAGTTACTGGCTGTCATTTTCCATGGTGATGGTTTTATTTATGGCTTTTATATCCTCTTGGTCAGAAGTTATTGCCTTGGTACAGGCTGTTAGGATAGCTTCCTACATGAATGAGACTATCCTGTATTTTCCCTTTTCATCTCACTCTAGTTATACTATTAGCTCTAAAAAAACACTCTTGCCCAAGTTCATTATCTGTTTTCTCAGTACCTGGTCACCATTTGTACTACTTCAAGTAATTATCCTCTTACTTAAAGTACAGATTCCAGCATATATTGAGTTGAACATTCCATGGTTGTACTTTGTCAATAGTTTTCTCGTTGCCACAATGTATTGGTTTAATTGTCAAAAGCTTGACTTAAGAGAGACTGCATTACCTGTGGATCCATTTGTCAACTGGAAATGCTGCGTCATTCCATTTACAATTCCTAATATTGAGCGAATTGAAAAGCCTTTATCAATAATAATTTGTTAATATGATGTCACATTAAAATTAGAACTTACATCTACAGTAAAAACCATTTTATAATGATTAGTCAGAACATAGAAAGAATGAACTGAAGCTTTCCCTCAACTTTCCTATCTTTTCAGAATGTGTCTTTTGGGACTATGCTATTGGGTTTGTTTGTTTTTTTAAAACAAAATAATTCCAAGAAAAATGTTTATACCTGTTCAGGAAAAATGTATGTTACATATATTAATACAGAAGTGAACTGAGTTTAACATTTGCTTACTGATGTTTGTGTTGCATACCCTAAAAACTGTGTGCAAACTGTTAGGTATGTCTGAAATTTGCTGCCAACTTATGATAGGAACTTAAACATTTTTATTAAATTCAGAGCAAGAAAATCAGGATCATTTTCTTAGAATGATTTGGTATAAATATTCTTCGATGTAAGGAGAAGATTAGCTCAATTTAAAGTTAGCCAATTTTTTAAAATATTTTTAATGCACATATTCCTGGAATAAAACTTTTGGTTGCTTACTTATGGAATTGGGGGTAGTGACTAAGATCTCTTCCATGACATACCAGATTCATTTTCAGTTATAACTTACATGTCATATACTTACATGTCAGATCATAATCACATGGGAAATGTATCACACTGTAAGGTGGGGTTTCTTATCCTCAGCACTGTTGACACTTTGGGTTGGATATTTCTTTGTTGTTGGGTAAGGCTGTCCTGCATATTGTAGGATGTTTGGCAGCATCCCTGCCCTCTAGCCACTGGATTCCAGTAGCACTTCTCTTTCTCAGTCACAACAATCAAAATGTCTCCATACATTGCCGAACTGCCCCTGCTAGGCACAACTGCCCCGTGTTGAGAACTACTAAAGAAAAGCAATCTAAAAAGGCAGAATAATCTGATGTCATTTGGTTAATTAGAGTATGAGAATATTCTAATTAACTGCCTAATCTGTCAGTTTCTAAACTTGGCCCTTCTACACTTCTGTGTGACTTTTCCCCTGAATGTGTTTATTGCTAATTGGCCATAGCATGGGACTGAGATATTTTAAAATATACTTAGTAAAAAGTAGCAAAGATTTATACTCTGTGTATTTTAAATCAGGCAAATTTATAAGTATAACTATTTCAAACCCTGTTAAGCTTTTTGTTTACTTATGAGTATTCCCCTGCCTCATAAGCTTAAAGAAAAAAAGAAATTATTCAATAGACCAGCCAAATGGAAGAGGCTTTTATTTATAAAGAAATGAACTTACAACTGGTCTACAATATATTATTGTAATATAAACAAATATAAATAAATGATCCTGTAGGCCCACTAACCTTCCATCCAGACCCACACAAAGCAATATTACAACAATATTCTATGTGAAAATGTGCAGGTAACAAAGGTGCAATTACAAGCAAGTTTAAGCAGCAGAGTATAAGGTGCTTTAATTTAACAGTTAATGTTGCCATCAACAAACATATGAATGCTCAATTTTACTTCACTGAATACAGACACAACAAATATGAAAATCTAAAATTCATACACATGCTACTTGTTAATATGAAAGTGCTTTCTCCTTTTAAAAAAATACACCAAATGGACAATCTTTTTACATAGATCATGGTGTGCTCTTCTAATGCAAAATTAACTTTATTTTAGGTCATACATTTTAAAACTGTAGCTATAGACACCAATCTAGGAACACTTATGCTAATAGTGCTAAAACTATTTCATTTCCTGTAAGGAGGACTCTAATACAATATCCAATGTAAAGAATACATCTATATATACTCTTAACATTTGTTTTTCGTAAAGATAAAAAAAATGTTCTCTCTCCCCTTGGTGATGTTTTGTTCATCCTGGGTGGACAGCTTTTGAGGTTTTAATAATATGAAAGTCTTATTTTAGAACAATTGGAGGAACCAAAAAGAATTTTAAAAATCCGTTATGTGATTGAAGCATCAAAAATTTTTAAAGTTTACTATAACAGTTTGCTTTTGTTAAATCAACAACAAAACATTTTTAACCAAGAAGACAGAAAGCACTAAGAGGTTTGAAATGCCTGCCTCTGTTGTCAGTATCCATCTTACATGCTGCTGTCTACAACTCCAACCTTCTCCACAGGCTCACTCCTTAATATGAGGATAGTTTTTGAGTTTTTTGTTCTACTGAAAAAAAAAAAAGACCAAGCTTTTGAATGAGGTGATTGGCAATCTAGTTAATTAAACACCCAAAATTATACCATCTTTGCACACTCCATTAGCTTTCTAAAATATAAGAATACTTACACAGAAAATATGTAATAGATATTTTAACAGCATAAAATATTTGAAAAACTAGGAAAATTTAAACATTTTAAAAGTTAAACAAATTAACCAGTACCATAGAAAATTTTTAAAAACCTTGACTTCTGATTACTTGGATGCCAGTGTTCCTATTTTCAAAGTCTGGTGTAGATTCTAATATAACATGGACTTGGACATTTTCCTGCTTTAAAAGGGTGTGACTATTATTTTGTATCTTGATGGAGAATATCAGTATCAAGTGATGTTATGTAAAGCTGGGTCAGTAGGAAAGATTACAGTGTAATGCATAGAATACCCAGTTGATAAGGAAACTTCTTACCCAATTAATAAACCCCATTCAATGTTTACTCTCCAAATACTTGTCAATTCAAGCATGGAACTGTTTTTCTGCATTTTAAAGGAAACTCTTTTACTATGTAATTAATTTTTGTGTGCTTTCTAAAATAGATACTGTAATAAGAAAATCTGTGTAATCTTTCTTGCTTTAAAAACAAAACAAAATAAACCTGTTCAGTGGATCTCCTTTGAGATTTTTCAGTTTCAGAAAGTTACTTCACTGTCAGTACTGGATGTAGAGCTTTGGTACTTAAAAAACAGTTAAGTCAGCACCAACTTTTCTCTATTGTTCTGTCACATACCCTGATTAGCACACCTCTGGAATAGATTCAGTGTCAAAATAATTCTGAGAAATATGGGCTGTCACAACAGTCTCAAAATGTAAATCCTTAATGTTAGGCACCCTTATTTTTTAACCTAATCAGATGTATGGCTGATGTTTAGTATGTGAAGTGCGTTTTAGGAATTGTGATGTGATTCATTCAAACCCCTTAGATACCATCTAGTCTAATTCTTTACCCAGTGCTTCAAAAATTCCCACTCACTCCCAGGTTACATTCAGTACAACAATAATTACGTCCATGTTTGTTTAAGCTACAATCAAATTTTTGTTTAGGAAGATTTTGATTACTTATTAGTTCCTTAAGTCATGTATATACCACACACACACACACACACACACACACACACAGTAAGTGTTCAAATGGCTTGCTAAATGAATGGACTAAATATACGAATGACAATGTTTGTATGTGTCATATGTCCAGTGGTTAATTAGCAAGAAGCATTTAGAAAAATGTCCTCATTTGCTTGTCTGTATTTTCTACCTTAATCCTTAAAAAAGATTCTAGGTGACCCAGGAAATTGATGCTTAATAATTATCTCTTAGCGAAAGTTGTGTGAAATGAACCATTAAACAGGAAAAGAGAATTAAGTAGGAGCAACTTTTAAAGTACATCAGTACTCTAGAATCATAGTATTAGAGCTGGGAGTTATCTTAAAAATGATTTAAACCCAAATCAAAACATTTTTATATAGGGTTTCACACTGTATTTTCAGAAGAGGAAACAGTTTCTTAAAAGCTAAATAACTGCCTGAGGTGTCAAACACAGCTAATTCACCAACAGGAAGTAAAAACCCAGTCTTCTGGACCATGTTTTATCTTCATTCATCGTATTTAATGATTACATTCATCTATTATTTACTACTGAAGTAGATTTTGTATTCCTAAAACTAAAAGAATTGCGACTTTTAACACAGTATTCTAAACAAAAATTTTAAGCGGTGGACATTTCTGATTTGCTTGAGGCAAGAGTAAAGATCCTTCTTTCTAAAATGGGTTATTTCACTACCAGCCCCACTCTCTAATAAACACCAACTTCTTCACCTCCATCAATTAAAGCTCCACAAAACATGGATTTAATACTGACAGAATTCCCTAAAGTATAACTTTTTAAGCCAGTAAATGATGACTACTACCAGTCTTTAAGAAGATAACTGAAGTCAGTTTAAATAGGTGATCTAAAAGAACTTACTCATTAATCTTATATTTAAAACTATGCCATGTTAGCATAACAGTTAAAAATTTATACTAATTTCTTCTTCCCAAATTAAAATTCACTGTTTATTCCTCTTAAATACATTTTAAAACCTTTGCACAAGTTTTCTTCCTATGGATTCCTACTGATGCCACCAATATCACTGAGCAATTGTACTTTTCAAAGGCAGTACAAAAAAACCTATTTTCTAATGTACCTCTTCTCCAACATCTGAGATTAAAACTGTCACTGTAACAAATGTTCACAAGTTATAAAGGGGGAAAAAATGAAACAGTAGTGGAAAACAGTTCCTAAAAGGTTCCATAAGCATGGCACTTAAGAGGTGTGTGTTCATGTGTAGAGTAGAACAGAAGGGTTTTCATCAGAGAAACTGGGCTTCACATCTGAAAAGGAAAGAGGGCACTCCCTTTTCATGTATGTGTACTCACATGAAAGTTCAGAAAAAGCCAAATGTTTTCCTCTGGAGTAAGATGATAAAAATTCTATTAGTGCTTTACAACTTTCAAAAAAGCCTTTCTCACAGTATTATTTAAAAATAGAAAGTAAATAAGCTCTAAAAAAATAGGTAAAACTTTTAAATTTCTAAAAATTTAAGAAGCTTTTCCAAAGAAGGTAATACAATTTTCAACATTTTTTACGGAAGAAATGGCGTGAATTGCTGCTATGAAGGAAACTATATAATGACACATTAACGAACTTCTAACAATACAGGAATCTTTTCCCAAAGAATTTTTTAAAAGATGTATAAGCTCTTAAATTGAAATTAAACTTTAGTAAGATTGCATATTTAGTTTTCCTAATACTGTACTTGTGCTTATCTAAGTTGAATCACACTCTTTCAGATGAAATCAAATGCTCCAGACTAAAATATCAATATTGATGAATGTGGATTAAACAGTTCATTTCATGATCCACACACTACTGTGCATCAAAGAAACAGAGGTAGGCTTGTGTTTACTGAAATCTACACTAATAAAGAGAAACCTGTAGCTCTTAGTCATCCAATTCCTAGACTGAAACACAACTTACCAAAATGCCTTTCTTTGTAACAATCTATAAGGTTGATTCAACTATGATACCTCAAATGGATTCCCTAATTCTGAAAACGCTATTATAACAATTAACCTTTGAGTTTTTGACATTCCCCAACTATGATAGTTGTCACTGCTTTCAGAAGTCAAAATTCACTATAAGTATTATTAGGACTATTAATACGCTCCTAAGGACTTAATAAAGAATGAAACAATGAGTGTGATTACATACATGTAAATCTTACTGCTATAACTGGGATCCAACCATTACTACTTATTATTTTGAACTATTGAAAGCTGTATCTATACTACACTCAGTTAACTGCATTATTCTCTTAGGTCTGGAATGCTTTTTCTCCTATTTGTCTCCTCCTCCACTTCCCTATCCTCCCCACCAGAAAACCTTCTGCGTGGCCCAGCTAGTTACATATGTGGTGCAAAAGAAACACAATGAACAAATATTGTGCCTAAGTGAACCAGTTTTCACTGCTCAAAGCTTTCACTGAAACATGACTGTTAGGTATTAGAAAGTCCTGCCCCAGGTCCCTCCCTGAAATTAAACCCACTACAAAATCCTTTCCAAGGATTTTCAGCAAAGGTCTAAGAAGAAAGTTTTCAAGCAGTTTTCTTCGGGCTGGAGGCGGCTGAGGGCAAGTAAGGGTGAGCAAAACCGGTTACTAGGTAATGCTCAATGCCAGCTGCCCATGGGCAGCATGTGTTCTTGCCAGTCACTAGGGGGAGGATCTTCAAACCACAAAATATAACCACGTTGTTCTGGTGGGAAATACATCTTTAAAATGTTTAACAGTGTGTCCAGCCAGGGATTTCATACACTTGATATGGCTGTGAGGACAGCATCATTCACATACATCTATAACAAGTTTATTCTGTCCAAAACTGTTGACACACATGTAAACATAACCTAGGACTGTACAATCTATATATGCCTTCCTTCCATACTTGTGCCATGGTGATACCAAAACCCTGCAAATTCAAATAATGGAATTTTGTAACATTTAATTGAACAAGTCAGTGATATGGGGCACTATGACAGATTTCAGTCTAAGACTGGTATTTTAATAAATGTCTCTCATTTGACACTGGTATATGAGGATTGGCTATGTCAAAAATCAGTCAAAGGCATGGGCACAACAATACTTACTTCATACAGTTTTAAGTGCTTCAACACACCAGGAAATAAAAATAGGCAGTGAGCCACCTAAAAATTTATTTAAAACTAGGTAGATAAAATATGAATATTAACTTCAAAAGTGCAGAAATCTGTTCAGTGTTGAAATGGGATAGACTAACAAAATGGCAGGTCTCTTATCTGCATCTCTCTCATTCTCAAGCTCCACTAATGTTTCTTTCCTTCCATTCTGCCTTCGTTACTCCTAGGTATCAGCCCTTAAACGAGGACTTTAAAAAAGTCTGTTTAGAGGATGCCACTGCAAATCAAAAGTACCATCATGGAAATAGTTATATGTCACTTAAAAGTGACAAGTTTTAGGACAGCACTCTGTCTCATACTGCTTATATCAAAGCTGCATAGCTGTGTCAGACACTTGTCTACACAAGGCTTGATGCAAATCCACATCATGTAAAAAATAATTTTACAAACCAGCTCTCAGTTTGTTTATTTTCTTAGGAACACATGGCTTAAAGCAAATAAAATTTCAAGCTTGTAAGGTTTTTTTTCCCTCAGTGGGAAAAGAGTGCATCAGTTTAAAAAAGTCAGAAAATGCAAACCTAGGTAGCAAAGTCAGAATTTCCTGCGTACCCTTTATGCTTGTCATTCCCTCTCCACAATCAAAAGGCTGAAATAATTAGTAACAGGAAGGAAAATGAAAATAATAGCACTTTCCTCAACTATATCATACTAAAACTGTGCACAGGAGAGGTGAACACCCAGTGTTATCTGTATCCATTATATATAACTGAGGCTTTGAAATTAAGACACTTAAATCTTCTAGAAAGAAACAGCTCCATCAATGGGAAAAACTACCAGTTGAAAGCAAATGAGGCATTTCTAAACAAAACAACTCACTTGAAAAAAAGAAGGTGCAGACTAAAGAATTCTTAACATAATTTTAAGAATGAAGATTATATAAGGTACCTTCAAATAGAAACCCCTTTTCTTGGATGCTTAATGCTGTACCAGGCATGGGCTTTCAGTTAAGTACATAATGACTGATATTAGAACAGGGAGTAAACAAAAGGCAAACCTGTAGCACAGTCAAAGTTAAGACTTTACGGGGTTATGGGAGGTAATCATTATTGTTGGGGAGAGAAGACATATCCCCAAATAATCAACTGTTCGTGGATTATCTATGATAAAGTTTGAATTCCAAAGGAGATTTTTCTTTGTGTCCCTACCCCCCATATGTTGGACCATTTCTTACTGATGTGTAGCCTCTACTGTGTTCTGAAATTGAAAATGAGGGGGAAAGTCAAGCATATGATAACTCTGTCACAATGATTAGCTGTACTAATAAACAAAAATTGACTACAGAGTACCTACCTTTCCTTGAAACTTTAATTCAATAATTAAAAATGTGAAATAAAGAAATATGTAACATTGACTACAAGCTATTGTAGGTCTGGAACATGAGCCTTACACTGTATTACACATTCTAATCCTACACATAACTATTAGTAAACATCTTTTTTAAAAACATTACTACACAAAAGAATCCCACAAAGCATACATTCAAACAAGAAGCATCTAAAGATTAAAAAAATTACCCGCTGTATTTCTGTATAAAAATAATCAACATTTTCTAATGTACACAAAGCTGAAAGATAAATATCTGTAATGTCTTTAATGACATCTTTAGTCTTCTACTAGCTCAACACAATCTTTTTGAAAAGAGCAGTGACAATGACTGAAACCCATGGACTCTTCCCATTCACTGAACTTCTGGCAAATTTCTCTGTATGTTCCTTCAGTTACCAAAACATTTTCATTGTGGTAAAGATAAGATAAAGGAAGATTAAAACAAATTTTTGATGCCCAAGACTACAAAGCTTTCAGGGCTACCACAAAAATTTGTTTTAGTGTCGTAATTCTAACAGAACACTAACTTTTCAGTAAAAAGTTTTGCTTTGAAGTTTTTTCCCCTAAAACAAATACAAATTAGGTTTGATTATCCAAGAAATAACACTTGGTAAGTCCTTTGCAGGAAGCATGCAAGGGTTTAGTCAAGGGAAAAGGAATGTGCATTCTAGCTAGACCCAGCATGTTCAACATCAGAAAAATCCAAAGATCAAATATCTACCTGTTACAAACTATTGCCTTGCCAGCAAAGGCTGTGCACTGGCTCATAAGGTATAATCATATTATGCCTTCATCAGTGCAGAGGAGCAGAAAAATATGAAAGATAATATGAATGAGTACTTTCTGAGAGTCAAATATTGGTACCTAGTCCTTATAGGCCAATTTAATGGATTTTCTCCTCCTTTTCTAGTATGAATGAAACTAGGAAGAATGCTTCAGCAGGACATTAATACTATCTTAAATACGTCCATTGTATAATGCATCCCTTATTAAGTTCCATCTTTTAAAAATATCTCCTTGGGTGAAAAACAGCAACATTTATCACTCCTACATCAGGGTTTCTCGGCCTTGGCACTACTGACATTTTGGGCCAGATAACTCTTCGCTGTGGAGGGTTGTCCTGTACACTGTAGAAAATTTAACAACTCCCCTAACCACTACACACTAGACACCAACAGCAACCCCACCCACAAGCTACGACAGCCAAACTGTCCCTAGATATTGCCAAATGTCCCCTGGGGAGCAAATCTGACTTTCGTTTGATAACCACTGCTCTAAAATGTATAAAAACTAAGAGAAAAACTAACTTTCTCAGTCACACTAAATTCTTGGTCAAGTTTGGAATAGAAACCAACTCTTCTGACTTCAGATCAGTATTATTCATGCTAGAGGACAATCCTTTTTATAGACAGAGCAATTGTCTACAGACAAGTTTTTCAAAAAATGCACATTGATACCTCACATACTATTCTAGCTGCTGGACTCCTTAATTATCTCTCTCATGACACCCTAAGAAAACTTAGAGGGTAGAAAAGCATGTAAGAAAATCAAATTAAATGAGGAAAAATGTAAATCATTATATTACTTTTAAAAGGATCCTTTATATTAATGATAAACATCACCTTTAAAAAAATTTAGTATAACACATTTCTTTGAAAAATATCATGGCCCTCTATAACAAGGCTTTCAATGTTGCATGTAACCTCTAAAATTAATTTCACCAATGTTGGCTAATTACAAAAATCTATAATGAATTGTTACTCTGTAGAAGAAATGTCAGCGTTTGATGTGGCGATGTCAGTGTGCTTGGGTATCCACCACAATAAGTGACAATATTTGAGGCCAACTTGAGCCTTTACCTTACAAGTTTAAGAGAAAAACTGCTGTTATCTGAAAGCCTCATGATACGGTTAAGATTCCTTCAGAGAGTTGATGCGTGCACAGATCTTTAGGGCTGGGCCTAGCTTGATATTCATTGCACTCATAAGATGGTCTTCTTTTAGCAAGAGAAGGGCCTGTCCATCAATCTCCTGTGCTCTAAACTCATCTGCGATATCTTGGCAGCCTGGAATTTGAACAGAGGAAGAAAGGTCAAATTCATATGCAACAATTAGATGTTACTCCTAATAGTCAGTGTTAAGTTCTCAGGTCTGAGTATCTGAAATATAGGCTGAGAAACAGATGAAATTTATATATGGTAGTCTTGAGTTCACTCCTGAAGAAGAGTGTGTCTCTTGGCATTCTGAAAATAAGAATAATTCAAAATCCAAGCAAACCAGTTTACTTGGAATTCTTGTTCTAAAAATAGTATTAAAGTATGTACAAATTACCAGTCTAGATATAACATACCTTCACAGAAAGGATGATGGTATCACTTTAAAGCATGCCACACATATAACTAGTTCAGATTAACTAGTTATTATACCTCATGAACTTATCTTTGTATAATATATCCTTCACATATATAGGTATAGAGGAATAAAATATATGTTCTGCTATTTAAAAAACAATTTAGGAATATTTTCTGAAGTACCAGAATACTGCTTTAATTGTCATTTGTCCCTTATTCTAATTAACAACCTTCAATTGCCAAGCACATCTAAAACATTTTCATTGTTCACTAAGGACAGAACCAATCATCAAGATTGTAGTATCGATCTACTGCAATGCTGCTGAAATGTACTACTGCTCAACTTGTAATATCAACTTCAAATCTTAGTATCTCCGAACTCATTTCCACTTTTGATAAGAAAACATAAATTCTCATTAAAATTATGATCTTGCCAGCTAATCTCTTGCCAAATAACCAATATTTTAGCTCTCAGTCTAAACCAGAAGCTTTAGCTAGCAACAATGCTAGCATCTATTTAAACTCCAAATGTTTTTATTATCTACCAAATTTTGCATAGTTAGGTTACACAATAAACTTCCCCACTAAGGGTAAAGAAACCAGGAGGGAAAATAATGAATTAAGGAACCAAGAGAGGAAAGAATGCAGTAATGTGGAAGCTTCCTTATGAGATAGCAAAATTATAAAAATGAATTTAAGAATAAAAACTAACAGCTAACGTCTTTTATTCAAATCAGCATTCTAAGGGAAAACACAGAGAGAGAATGAAAAATGGAAACTGTTACACCTTTGGATACCACAACTTTGCTGGCATGATTATGTTTTCTATTGCAAATGCATCCTCCTCTTGTTTATATAAGGTAATGATGTCATTCCTATAACCTCAGCACCAGGCACAAAGAACTGTAGGTGCTAAATACATACATTTTGGGGTAAGAAAAGGACTGAATGAGTGAGGGAACAAACTGAACAAAAACAGCAGCTGTCTGCAAGAGTAATACAAACACTTTACTTCTGCATTCAGCTGTGCGGCCGCCTTTCCTCTTGGCTCTTTTCCCATCTTCTCTGTTGGTTGTATCTCTTCCTGTTTCCTATATAGCAGCCAGGTTTTCAATTTCTCTATTTTAGTAATTTCTCAGACTTTTAAAACTTGTCATTTCAATAGTACACTAGACAAAAAAATTGTTTTATGGTTTTAACCATTCACCATATAAAAGAAACTATGTAATTAAAATAGGATTACTCACCATAGAAAAGCCCCTTTTCTCTTCCCAGAGGTAGCTCTCAAAACTGGGCAGACAAAACTGACTAATCTTGCATCTAGTTGTGACTTCATCCTTCTTTTTATGAAAGAACTAATGTTCTTCTCTCTTCAGTCTTACTTACAAGAACACAGGAAAGAAAAGAAGAAAGATAGGGTAGGACTTAGATTCAGAAAACAGGAGCACTGAGAAGTAATGAGGACCGTAAGAGCTACATTTGGGAATAGAAATGAGTTCTTCATGAGGAGTAGCATGCCCTTGTTTCTCTGTATTATGAGATCCCTCTTCAAATGTTGTCTTATAGGTGGACAGTGAAGTATCAGTAAAATAATAAAGAACAAAATGTGCTTTGGGCAACAGCATGATCGAATAGGAAATCATTATCTTCAGAATTTTACATCACACCTTTCTCAAGCCAACCATAACAAATACTATACACAAGTATAGAAATGAAAAAATTAAGTGACTTAAAAAAGAAAAAGGAAAACCAAGAAGCAGAAGCAAATACACTTTCAGAAACTCTTTAGAAAAAAATGAGTTTTTAAAAAAATTCTAGATGCTAAAGGTATACTGAGCCAAAGTTCAATGAATTTCCGACTTTAGAATCTACTTTTGCAAAACAGTTGGTGCCCCAGGGATGCATACAAAACATCCCAGCTGTATCAACTAGTCGGCTCAGCTGTCTTTATATCACCAGAAGCAGTTACTGGGTTGGGCATGGACCTCTGCACATGGTCACAGGTCACAAATGAACTTCCTAAGTGTTCAGTTGCTTTTCCAGCTAAACCCAAAGCAAAAATACCCCACCCAAAAAATTACTTCAGTAAGGCTGGAGAAAGGATATCACCTGCCACTAAATACTACAGAATAAATAAGTCCCGATACTATTATGAAGTATTAGTATTATGAGAGCCCTTAGATAATTCCTACTTTATATGCCTACAGAGAAATCAAACATATAGCAGATTCACAGATCACTAAATACAAAATAAACTGATCTTTGCAAAACACAGTTCACTGTATCAAGGAAGAGTTAAATAAGTTAACTGCAGTTAGTTGAAAATAAGAATTATTCCCATGGAGAACTTTTCAATGTACACAAAAATTTAAAACATAATTTTTCACTCTTGTAACTGATGAGATCTGGGTGTACTGCATCTTAGCTCAAATACACAAGGATGGTTCACAAAATGACATTATACAAAGAGAAAACTCTAGGAGTAAATATAGGTGCCCTGAGAAAAGAAGGAAGCCCATCCTCAATTGGAAAGAAAATATGAGACAAAAATTACACGTTTGTTCATTCTATGAGAAAAGCTTCAGAGTATACTACTCAGGGGAAAAAAAACACAAACCAACCCTGAATGAGCTTAAAGAGGCTCAGAGGGAAGTTTACAAAGGCTACAAGAGCACAGAAAAGTGAAGATATAGGTACTTTTCTGGTATGAAATTCACCTTAACATACAGGCATTATTCAGAGAAAAACTTTAAGAAAGAAGATGTAATTGATCACAGTAAAAATGTTTGTTACTTATCTTGTCAAAGCAGTTTGGAATGACTCCCATTTAATCAATAAAATAAAAGCAGGGTTACATTAAGCAGATTATTAAACAATATCAAGCAGTTCTTAATTATAAAGCAGTCTCGTTTTAATAATAGGTAATGTTCTCTAACAACTGGCCAACGAAACTGTCTTTAACTCAGACAAGCACCTCAAGTTATAAGCAGTAATAACTTTTTAAAACTCAAATGCAGCAAGAATAGTCAAAGGAGTTAACCTTTGTTCTAATAAAGCAGCTAAGAGTAGCCTGATGGCAAATGGATGCTAGGGACAATTAGAAAATCTGCCCTATAAAAAGCATATGAAGTGATAGAAGAATCAGCAATATTTATTACTTGTTAATTACTTGGCCAACTACCTCCCTCAGGATATGAACCAACCCTCCTTCCCAAAGGAAAGAAGTGTTTTCCCCCAAATGAGAAACCAGACTAACAGCTCACATGCCACATTCAGAAGTCTGAGACTACTTCTGAAGTAGGTAATTCTAAAGTTGACAGAATCAAAGGCCGGCTCTGGGGATTGGTATAGATTAGAGGGCTAATTCTCAAGGCATCTGAACTAGTCTAAAAACAAATTTATTTCATTAACTATTAAAACCACAACCAGTGAAGACTCACCATCCTCTAGTATATCAGTTTTAAAGCAGATTCTAAACCTACATTGTCCACACTTAACTCACACCTCAATTTTCTTAGGTGCGTGCTTAAAAACATTCCATGAAAAATGTATACCTCTTTGAACAATTTCATCTTTCTTTAAAAGTGACCATAGTTTGAAAAAAAAAATGATTTAGCATTTCTAAAACAAGCAATTGACAAAGTAATTTAATAAAATTTCATAGAGTTCTATATATAAGGCAAAAATGACTATTTTTTTAAAGTAGTAATACTTCTTAACAAAACTTTCTTCACTCACACAGCACATTAGCTATAATTTGCTTCTGAGACAATGGTTACCTTCATAGAGATTAATTAGCAAAAATAGCTGGATTAATTTTAATAAGCCTATAGGCAACTTCAAAGGGGATGTATTTTTCTGGAAAGTTTATGTCAAGAGAAATGGTATGATTCACAGTAAAACCAAAATGGAACAAACATTAAAAAAATCTTGCTTTCCATATTCATAAAGTTAAAGTGAGTAAGATTTGCTGATTTAAAAAAATGTGTTGTCTTCACATATGTAACCAGTGTTTGTCTCATCGTGAGCAAAGCTGCAGCTGCCTTTAATAGCAAGCCACTTGGAGAAAGTGGATACAAAAGATTGTGAGCACTAAAGAATAAAGATAAAGAACATAAAGACTTAAGTTGATGGAAAGAGTACTAAAATGAGAGAGCAGAAAAACAAGAAAGTTACCCTCAGTACTGGGATGAAAGTAAGTGAATTTTTGTTGTCTGCTTAAAAAATCAAATTTCAGAAGTGTCCCTGATGTCTACTTACTGCAAAGAATCAAAGAATACAGTTTCCTTTAAAAAAAACTGGCTTGATTTTTTAAAAAGAAACCAAAATTTTATATTCTAAAAGGTCTTTATTGGCTTTCAAAATAGTTTTAAAAAAGTTACTACAGTCTCTCTTATTTTATTTTAAAGGTTAAATTAGGAAATAAGGAGGAAATAGAATAGAAAAATAGAAGAACAGAAGGAAGTGTCTGACTCAATCTCTCTACTGACCTCTCGAGAGAAATTAGACTGAAGAGAAGAGAGCACCTTTAATATCTTCACCGGTTGAGGTATCACAGCAGAAGCAGGACTAGTCAGTTTTTATTGACTTGGGGGATATGAGAAAATACCCAGTTGTGCTAAGGGAATAAGCAAGAGGAAACAGATCACATTTCAATAGCAAATGCCATTTAATTAATACATATACATAGTACTTCTCTAGCCCTTTTGTGCAATAGGTGTGGATGAATCTAACATCATTCCTGTTTGTGAATGCAGAAGAAAAATTTTCAGGCCAAAGTGATGAATTACAATACCAGGCAAGGAATGGATGAAGGCCCAGACGTCATCAACTGTCCATATAGATGGCTCTGTTTGTGCAACTGGTAGCAGATCAGTGTTCTCAGGCATTTTCCTAATTCTCACATCTCGAAGCTCCCGTTCTCTTTCCCGCTCACTCTGCCTGCGCAGACGTGTTGTCATAGCAGATGGAACAGAATCTTCATGAGAAGCCAAGTCTTCTTCTGCAGATGGATAAGTAATTGGAAGCTGGAAAATGTAGTACAAGTAAAATACAGCATTGCACTTTCCTTGCATTTCTGAAATGGGTATTGTATATTGAAGGAAGGTTTTTACAGACCTGCCTAAGGATATGTTCTCTTGCTACCCCATCTGGGCCACTTGGACGTCGGCCGCGATGCCCAAGACTTTGATTATCAGGCTTACGATTCCAACGACTAAGTGCAAATTTTTTAGAACAGCTAACATTGTACCTAAGAAATTCAAGAAAAATATTAAATGATACATGGAACACTTCTTTTAGTATTTAATTGTGACTTAAAAGTGCAACTGTGAATCAGTAAGTGCCATATACTTAAGGACTGTAATACCTCAGAAAGTAAACTGTAAACTTCAATGGACTTTTTATGTTAATAGTCAAAAAATGGCCTTTGTACATATGATAATATAGCTCTCAATAAAATACTGGACACTTACAACAAGGTACTGACATTTTCTCCTAGTAACAGCATGATAGCAGGAACTTTGTGCTAAATACAGAGGACAACCAAGTGTCATAGCAGCAAAATAACTGAAAGGTTCCAGGAGTAAACAAGCTATGAATTAACTATTTAGATATTCATTCAAGCTGATATTTTCCCAACTAATAGTTTCTGAAGAGATTAATATAAAGAAGTTAATACAGAAGGGAGGAGGAAATCTCAAATGGCTAGTAAAAAGTTTTTCAAATATTACTGAAATCAGAGAGTGAAAATGTAAAGTTGAGATTTCAGTGTTAAACAAGGAATTCACAGTTTCACTGTTCAGGAAATTTAAAAATACATAATATTTAAAAATTGGCTCAAAGATTAATTTTATCAAAATAGACTAATACTTTTCAGTATAGTCCTTTATAAGGCATAATGACAATTTTAAAGAGTCCTATGTCATTTATTGAGTTCCAAGGCTCTAGAACAGGGGGTCACAGTCTTTTTTAGATTGTAAATATTTTAAGCTTTGTGGGCCGTACAAGTCTCTGTCACAACTAGGCAACTCTGCAATTGTAACACGCAGGCAGCCATAGACAATAATAAATAATAAGCATGGCTGTGTGCCAATAAAATTTTATTTATTAACACTAAAATCTGAATTTCACATAAATTTCATTTTTCATGGAATAAAGTTCTTCTTAAAAGTTTTTTAACCACCTGAAAATCTGAAAACCATCCTTAGCTTAGGGGCCATACAAAAATAGGTTACAGGAATGACAGCCTGGGCAAAGTTTGCCAACCCCTTCCCTAGAACAAAGAGCAAACAGAAATAATCTAAAAAAAACAGTTTCTGAAAAACTATAGAAAACCTAAGAAAAATACATACAGTTCCTCTTTTTTTTTTCTTTACACATATAAAACTGCCACTGCAATTTCTTATTTTCAGAACTCTTTTGCTCCAAGAAAATTTTTCAGGAAAATGACAAGAGCAGATCCCAATTAACTTTGCTATTGATAATTGCCCTGGGACTATACAGATACTAAAATAAATTTTCCTCACCAATGTTTTATGAAAATAATACAAAGTGGAAATAAGGAAAACTATGAAAATGAATAGGCTATTTTCCCCAAAAAATATAAAAAGAAAAAAAGTGTTCTGATGGCTGTTCAATTTTACCCTAAAACAATTCAACAAGCTCCTGTTCACAATTCTCATCTGTGGGCTCAGCCCTGTAGGTTTCTGATTTCCATTCATGTCAGTTAACAAAGCTGCTTTCTGCATTGGACTAAAAATCGGAGAAGAGAGACTAACTTTACACTTCAATTTAGTCCCTAAATATTGATATCTCCAGGACAGACAGCTAGGCAGACATGTTAATAGCAGCAGTTCTTCCCTGATTAATTTATCCTCTCCTTGCTCTCTTGTCTGCATATATTAGGACTCCTACCCAAAGAGGTTCACCTAAAGGTATAATAATGTGACAAGTCAGCAATAATCTCTGAGAGAACAGTGATGGTAGTGTTAAATGTCCTCAAATATTTCTAAATAGTCAAGACATTTAAAATATTCTGAAAGGTAGTCCTTTTTTCCATCAGTTTTTAATCACTTAAAATTAGAGAGCCACTATTCTTTTTTGTAGGATATGCAAACTGGAAAGCTCCTAAATTAAAATAAGAGTTACATACTTTGATTAGGGCTATCAATAACAATAAAGAATGTATGAGTAACAGATTGACAACTGAGAAACCATTGAACCCATTTTTGAAGTAAAATACTTCTATTATTTAAGTTTTACTAAGTATATTTTAGTGGCACCATACTAAAAAATATGTTTAAACAAGAAATTCCCTAGATGTATACAATTAAGATCTTAAATTCTTTGAGGAAATAATCACTTTTTAGAAAAGAGAACATATTTCAAAATAATCAACTTGTGCATACATCACCTCTAGTGGTAAATGCCTGTATTAGGATTTATTATCAGTATGAGGGCTCTTTTTAATGTAATCTAAATTATGACAAGATCAGTATTTCCTTTGTTATTAATAGTATTTACCTATAATACTATTGAAAATACAGATTCAGAAAAGACAGGTATTTCACTGTCTGATAACGTAACAATGTGGAGAACTTACGCTATAGAGGTCCCATTTAGAAACTTAAAAACAAATAGGATAAGTCAAAACAAATGAAAACATTTAAAACAAAATAAATCCAGGTATTTCAATACTGGTAAAACAATCAGGTGATAAACTACATGTAAGAGTAGTCTAACTGATGGACAGTGACTGCAATGGGGTATGGGGCGTCTCGATAATATGGGTGAATGTAGTAACCACATTGTTTTTCATGTGAAACCTTCATAAGAATGTGTATCAGTAATACCTTAATAAGAAATAAAAGAAAGAAAAAGAAAGAACTAGTAGTCTATTCACAGGAAGGGTTTTCCCGGTGACATTCTCTTCACCAGGAGACTGCTACTTCAGTATTGGATTATGCTATAAAATTCACTGTTTTCACAGAGCAAAATTTAATAACTAAATACCAAAGCAGCTCCAGATAATACCTATTTGATATTATTTCTATATTATACCTGTTTTTTTGTTTTGTTACACACAGTGTTGTTGGTTTGTGCTTTTGGAAGCTCAAGAGAACAGAAATACCTTTTGGCACATGACATAGTGCAGAATCGTTTTGAACGCAAAAATTCATTGGCATATCCCATCTTCCCACAGAATTCACACTTGAGTAACTCACTGTCCATTTCTTCTAATGTATCTAAAAGAGAAGGAAACAAAGGAAAAACCTTCAAAAATTTAACTGTGGCGAATTTTCCTTTAGCCTCTACTTTGGTTGACTGCTGCTAGTTCAATCCCTCCAGGAAAATTAAAAGAATGATCTTTTAACTTTTCTATCCACAGTCATTTGGTGGAGCAAAGCCTCCAAAACAACCATCTCCACCAATTCTCTCTTGCTCCAGCATCAAAATTGTATGGTGTTTTATCTACCTAAATAGCAATACATTTTTAAAGGCCCATTTTGCTAAGTATCCAAAATATGCGAAATCTGCAAACAATGTTATTAAGCACTGTAAGAGAAATGAAGATAAATAAGACAAAATCACTACCCTTCAGGCGGAATCCTTTACGTGCGGGATATGAATTTTGGTACATTGTGCTATAGAGTATAAAGCAGAAAACACTCTTTAACAGGAGAAAATGAGGATGACTTCAAAAAGAAGGTATAATTTTGATATGTCTGATTTTAGAGAAGCATGTAAAATAATACTCTCAAAGATCTGCAGTATATGATACATTAAAGATATATATATCTAATTATAAAAGTCCCTTTTAGTTACACCATATTAAAACAAAAATAATTTAGATTAATATTGAAAGTCACAAACAATTTTGTAATTTCTAACATTTGCTCCTTTTTGTCAGGGTGCTCTCTATTAAGTTAGATGTCCTTCCTCCACCTCTATAGCGGTAATTTTCTTCAAGCCATACAACAGGATCCAAAGAAACATCCTAATTAATTCTCAAGTAATTAGCAAAGTGTCACCTATAAGTGAGCAACTTGATCTTCATGACCCAGTTTTCTTATATGTAAAATGGGGCTTATAATGCCTTTCCAGAAGAACTGCAATGAACATGACATACCCAATAGGTAGCAGGCATTAAAAAGTGACATTTCCATTTCCTATTTTCCACATAAATACTAAGAGTATGAAGGTTCGTAACAACTGCTTAAGAAATACTTCAAAGAAAATTATTAAATTTCAGTATCTTAAATCCACAATATTTTGTCATTTTCTTGCATCATAATACCTATGCCAAGTCATAAAAAATTTGCAAAAATAACACTCGGCTAACTAAAGCTTTTAGCTCTGGACTCTGTATGTGCTTTTCTATGTTCTTCATTTAACCAAGTTTTATTAAGATGAAGAAAGGGACTCAACTGTAGACATGGATGACATATACTCAGTAAGTTCAAGCATTCCCATTATTCTAGTCTTACTGGAGAAGGTGCTAACTCAAGAGAAGGCAGCAAAAACTACTAAAAAGCATACTCTGAAAGATTCAAAGTTTCAAGGGACACCCAAATACATTGTCATGACTAATGAAACCATGAACTAGCAAGTGATCATTTAAGGAAATTCTCGGGACTACCTTCATAAACAAAAATTGTCTCAGTTAGTAGCAGTGAGGAAGAAATAGTCTCAAAACAAGTGAAATAAAAACTGTTCTTTCTAACAACCCAGAGATGGCTTTCACACAGCCATGGCTCAACAACACACTCCCAACTCCTGGGACCTGATGTGGTAACCTCCAGCAGTAGTGTTTTCACTTGGTCATTCTTGGAACCTGATCTCTGTAGAGGAAACAGAACCTCTCACTCAACCATCACTGCCACTAATCTGGCCCCAAAGAGTCCATCCCTCAAGTTGTTTCACTTCCAGACTATACTGAAAACTTTATTTCAAAACTTTTCACTAATTAACATACCAATATGTAATACTTGATAATAGGTTAGACTACCCTAAAAAGGAGAAGAAAATGTTTTTGCTGGTAAGAGTGAGGAGATCCCAAGCAGGTATGGTCTAAAGGTTAGCAACCTAACAAAAACCGAACATCAGTTTTATGTCTCATAAAGACGAGAGGAACATTAACAGATTAAAAATTCCTGTTCTTATGTTTGGTCAGAATTTTAACAAACTTGATAATGTTACCAAGGCTACTTTTTCACATTTGTAATAAAAAATTAGAGCCAAATGAGTTAAAAAATTGTTGCTCTAGCTCATAAAGATGGGGTTCTATGGCAGACACCTGGTAATTCTCCAATACCCATTCTTCACTTTCTTCCACAGTAACAAATCCTAATCCTCAGCTAAGAATGTGACCACTGAGAATAAAAACTAGTTTCTGCATGAGATGTGGCCAATTTCTGACCAATGACATATGAATAGAAATGCTGGCAAATTCCAGGTGGTGCACCCTTTCTCCATCTCATTAATTAGAATGTGATCATGAAGATGAACTATCCTGGACATGAGAGCAACACTCTAGGAATAGCAGAACCATAAACCATTGGAAGGCTAGGTGTCCAACACCATGCCCTGGACGGCTCACCTTCGGGCTATGTCAACAAAAATTAAACTTCTGCCTTACTTAATCAAGTATTATTCTGGGTGTCTAACTGAGTGGCCAAATGCATATCCTGACTAATAGAGGTCCCCATTTTTTGTGTGAGGAGCAGTTACTTTTTAATCTTCCTGAAGACTTGAGCTCACTTGAGGATCGGCAGCAAAGAAAAAAGCAATGGGACAGAAACCAGGATCAGTTTGATGACTTACCAGGAAATATATATTATGTTTGGTAAATCAAAATCTATTGGTTGGAGATACTGGTTACAGAACCAGTCCAAATAGAAACACAGTTTATCCTTAAAAAAGAATAATCTTTACATTAAGTTTTTTATAATGAATTAAGATGTATGTACTACTAAAACCAAAGCTACTAAATAAGAGACCTCACCATTTCACCCTATAGTACTTCCCATAAACACTGATATACACAGTAATAGAAACACTTTATAAAATTACACTGGAAATTAATAATGAAGTATTTAAAATTTTGGCACATTTTATGTAAATGTACCTCCCCTATGAAAAAGATTAATCATTTTAAAACAATATATTTAACATATAATACTGTATGTATTTAAGGTATAAAATGTGTTAATTTGATACATCCATATATGATTTCCATTGTAGGGATATTTAACACCTCTATCACATTACATAATTATCCTTTCTTTTTAGTGGTTGGGATAATTTTTAATCTTTATAAGTTTGATGACTATAGAGGATTAAAGATGGTGGCATGAGAGATGAGACAGAGGCCTCCTCCTAAAACCTCATATAATACGAAAATATATTTAATACAACGAATCCTGAAAGGGCAACAGGAAAGAAGGCTGCGGCAGACTGCATACACCTGGAGAAAATAATAGACCTCACAGAAGAGTGTAACATACCAAAGCCGTGACTCGGTGGGACCCAAGGCCTTCCCCCATGCCAGCTCACAGGCAGAAGGAAGAGAAACAGAGTGGGGAGCCTGGGACTGCTGAACACCTAGCCCTGAAGATCTGCTCTGGGAGCACAAACCTACATTGCATGGTCCTCTGGTGATTAGTGGGGTTGGAAAGCTAAGAGAGGAGGAATACATACCTGGAGAAACTGAGATTCCAGCCACTTGTGGAAAACAGGGATCCATATACAGTTGCTCTGGGACAAAAGAAAGGCGGGCAGTCTGAGAGACTTCTGAACAGCAAGAGGATTGCTAAAGGAGTAAGGAGTGCACAGAGCTTACTGCTCAGGAGAGAGGACACATAGATAAAATTGTCCAGGTGCACTCTGCCCAGCTGATTGGGAACTTTCAGGAGCTTCAGGCACGTCATCCCCCTGGCTGGCTACACAGCTCCAAGGTCCCTCCCCATGATATGCAGCCTACTACACCTTCCTCCGGGCAAGCCCGCCCATGGCTCACAAACCAGCAGCCCCTGACATGGTCTCAGGCCAGCCACAGGGAAGCCCTGCCTACAGCAACTACAATCACAAAGTATAGAGGCTTACACCTGTGTGTTTGGCACACTGATTCTGGCAGTGGAGACAGGCACAGCAGCCCGAGAGCAGGAAACAACTCTTCCTTCCTCCCAGGCACCAACACTGCTCCCCTTGGACCCCCGACATTGCTCCGGGGGCTGAGCAGCTCAAGAGAGAAGAGCTTCTGGGTACTAGAGGGCGCCACATACAAATACGACAAATCAAAGGAATCTGGTTCAAAGTAAAATCCTACATACATCAGAAAAAGAGTCAAATGAAACCGATCTCATCAGTTTCAAAATAAAAATTTCAAAATAAAAGAGATTTCAAAATAAAAATCATAAACATGGCTCATGGAGGTACAGAAAAATATTCAGGACCTCAGGAGAGAATTCCGGTCAGAGATCCAATCATTAAGGAATACAATGAAGGGTTTCAACAGATATTAGATACAGTGGAGGAGATGATAAATGAAATAGAAATTAGAGAAGAAGATTACAAACAAGCTGAGGCACAGAGAGAAAAAAAGGATCTCAAAGAATGAAAGAATATTGAGAGAACTGTGTGACCAATCCAAATGGAACAATCTTCGTATTATAGCGGCACCAGAAGAAGAAGAAGAGAGAGAAAAGGGGATAGAAAGTGTCTTTGAGGAGGTCATTGCAGAAAACTTCCCCAATCTGGGGAAGGAGATCATCTCTCAGGCCATGGAGGTGCACAGATCTCCCAACACAAGGGACTCAAGGAAGATACCACAAACACATATAATAATTAAAAGGGCAAAGATCAAGGATAAGGACAAATTATTAAAAGCAGCCAGAGACAGAAGTAAGATCACATACAAAGGAAAATCCATCAGGCTGTCATCAGACTTCTCAGCAGAAACCTTACAGGCAATAAGGGAGTGACATGATATATTTAATGCAATGAAGCAGAAGGGCCTCAAACCAAGAATACTCCATCCGGCAAGACTGCCATTTAAATTTGAAGGAGGGATTAAACAATTTCCAGATAGCAAAAGCTGAGAGAATTTACCTCCCACAAACCGTCACTACAGTGTATTTTGGAGGGATTGCTATAGATGGAACCATGTTCCTAAGGCTAAACAGCTGTCACCAGGGGTAAAAAAACCACAGTAAAGAAAGTAGAACAATTAATTACTAAGTAAATG